GCCTGTTGCTGGATTAGGTCAAAATTTAACAAACATTTCCAAACATCTTCCTATCATTATCCAATCAATGAAGTCACAATTTAGAACTCAAGCTTCATTTCTAGTAGTTGAAGAGATAACTGGTGTCATGCCTCAAATCAAAAAAGATACCTCAAAACTAAAAATACCTCCATACTTTGGTCTTGCAGATCTTGAATTTCACCTCCCTAATAAAATTGACATGCTTTTAGGAGCAAACATATTTTTTGACGTTCTTGAGAAAAACAAAATTAATTTAGGACAAAATTTACCTTCTTTGCAACAAACCAAATTCGGATATATCATTTCAGGACCTATTCCAACTCAAAATGTATGTAATAAAAATTGTCTTCTCACAACAAACCTAGAATTCCAACAATTCCAAAACTTCATCAATTCAGAAGAAAATTACTGCGAAAAAAGAGTTTTTTCAAGAGAAGAAAGTGAATGTGAAAATCTATTCCAAAAAACCACTTACCGTGATCAAACAAGAAACCGTTTTGTAGTTCAGTTGCCATTAAAATCTAATTATACTCAGTTGGGACAATCATACAACAATGCTCTAAGGCGCTTTCAATCCCAAGAAAATAAGCATTTTAAAAAACCCGAACTTTGGTCTGAGTATGTGAAATTCATGCAACAATACAAATCTCTGGGACATATGACAAAGGTAAATCATGACAATCCACCATCTCTTTATCCTATCTATTATTTGCCGCATCACATGATTGAAAAAATAGATAGTCTTACCACAAAGTATCGCATTGTTTTTGATGGTAGTGCAAAAACGTCATCCAATCTTTTTTTGAATCAAGTTTTGAAGGTATGTCCGACTATCCAAAATGATCTGTTTTCAACCTCATCAGCTTCAGGAAATATTCTGTTATACTAATTGGTGATTTAACGAAAATGATACACCCCAAAGAGACTTACAAAGGATAATCTGGCGTGACAATCCAAATCAGGAATTAGAAATATATCAACTCAATACTATTACTTATGGTACAGCTAGTGCAAGTTATCTTTCTACGCGTTGCTTAAAACAAATATCAGATGAAATTAAAACCAGTTTTCCCACTGAATCCAGCATCATTCAAAATGATATGTATGTTGACGACTTACTAACAGGCTGTGACAGTCCGGAAAATATGCTTATGATCAGAAAGAACTCGGTGCAAATTTTTAAAAATTACGGTTTTGAACTTAGAAAGTTTTCTTCAAATAGTCCTCAAGTACTTTCTGATTTAGCACAAAATCAAGAAAACTTTAAAAAATATGTCATCACTGACAATGAAAGTACAAAAACATTGGGTATTTCTTATGATGCAAATAGTGATGTTTTTGAATATAATACGAATATAATTTTGAATCAACCCTATCATGTCACAAAACGTACCATCCTTAGCACTGTCTCAAAAATATTTGACCCGTTAGGCCTTCTTGGCCCTTTAATCGTTCAAGCAAAAATAATTTTGCAAAATTTATGGAAAACCAAGCTAGATTGGGATGATCCCATTCCCACAGATCTTTTTCGACAATGGATGAATTTCTATAATGAAATATTAAAAATAAATACCCTAAAAATTCCTCGGCAAGTCACCTCACCCAACTCGAAATCTATACAAGTACACGGCTTTTCCGATGCTTCACAATAATCTTATGGGGCATGTATCTACGCTCGTTCAGAATCCAGCATTGGAATTCGTGTGAGACTTCTCTGTGCCAAATCCAAGGTAGCGCCACTTCAAACAATCACCCTGCCCAGGTTGGAATTGAATGGAGCCTTGCTTCTAGCAAGATTATTTAAAAATATTATTTCTTCTTTACAAATGACTATCCCTGATAATGACCTATTTTACTATACTGACTCCACAATAGTTCTCTCATGGCTGTCTCGTGAACACAATTCTTTGAAAACTTATGTATGTAATCGTATTTCTGAAATACATGAACAATTGACAAATACCTCAAATTGGTATCATATTTCATCAGAAATCAACCCTGCTGATATAATATCACGCGGAATCAATCCAGCAAATTTTGAGAAATTTCAGCTATGGTGGCACGGACCCAGTTTTCTATACGACAATCCTGAAAATTGGCCAAATGGTACTCACATCTCCAATTTTGCCAAAACTTACTCTGAACTACTTGAAACGAACACAAAATATGTTAATTTGCTAACCACTCATTTTCCAAAATCATTTTTACACATATTTGAACTATTTTCTTCATTTCAAAAATTAGTGAACATTATGGCTTTTTGTTTAAGATATCCCAAGAATTTGAAGAACAAAATATCAAATTTACCAATAATAACAGGACCTCTTACTGTTGATGAAAGAAGAAATAGTACTAAGTATTTAGTGAGATTGGTACAAGGGCAATGTTTTTCGAAGGAAATTCGAATTCTGACGAGTAACAAAGGGTTAGAAAATTCAAACAAGTTAATATCTTTATGTCCTTTTTTAGATTCAGAAAATATTTTAAGAGTAGGGGGAAGATTGAACAATTCAGCCCTCGAATATAACCATAAACATCCGATACTGTTACCGAGTCGACATCCTTTCACAACTTTAATTATTGAAGACATACATATAATGAACCTACACCCCGGAATTCAAGCTACTCTTTCATTTTTAAGAGAAAATTATTGGCCAATTCATGGTAAGCAAACTGTAAGGCGCGTTTTACATAAATGCATAAGATGTTTCAGAGTCTCTCCAAAAATTATCAAACCTTTAATGGGAGCTCTGCCATCTGTACGTGTTTCTCAATCCAGACCCTTTAGTCAAGTTGGCGTGGACTATGCAGGTCCGTTCCAAATGAATGATGGAAAATACCGAAATCGCAAAATAATTAAATCTTACGTTTGCATTTTTGTGTGCATGTCAGGATTTCAGATTTTTTAAAAAATCAAAGAGTCATAAATTTTTTAACTTATAATTATATTCAGTGGCATTTTATACCTGCTCGGTCTCTCCATTTTGGTGGGCTTTGGGAGGCAGCAGTCAATTCCCATAAGCATCATTTGAAAAGAATCGTAGGTTCAATACCTTTAACTTATGAAGAATTTATCACTGTGCTTACAAAGGTGGAGGCTATTTTAAACTCCCGTCCCATCATTCCCCTTTCCGAGGATCCATCTGACCTTGAAGCCTTAAGTCCTGGACATTTCTTGATCGGCCAGCCCCTAAACGCATCGCCTCAAGAAAATTATACTGATCCCAAAATTGGTTTCCTCAAGTGATACCAACATCTTCAAAAGTTAACTCAAGATTTATGGAACCGCTGGAGAATTGAATACCTGCATAACTTACAGCAACGTACAAAATGGCGTAATAACGAATCCAATCCGCATAAGCTAATAGGATCGTTAGTGATACTTATTGAAGAAAACATACCACCATTACAATGGCCACTGCCTCGAATTACAGATGTCCATCCTGGTAAAGACAGCATAGTTCGTGTGATAAGTGTCAAAACCAAAAATGGCAGTGTCTTAAAAAGGGCTCTAACAAAAGTTTGTTTATTGCCTATAGATTCTTCTCAAGAAGGATAAAGTCCTTTGTTATTTTCATATTCCATGAAATTGACTTTGGGTTTCTAATGTGACTTTCCAATATTTTTGAATTTGTATACTTTGTTCAATTGAATTTTGCTTTGTATAGTTTTTCATTCATCATTTGCATTTAAAAAAAAATGTTATTAGTTTTAATTGCTTATAAGTTTATCTGCCTTTCAGAAAAACTTCATAAGCTACTAATTATTATTAGTTGTATGTATTGTACTGAAATTACAGCAAATTTGTAAACTAGTTTAAGGCTGCTCCTTTGCTAAAATTTTGTCTTAGATCAGTTTATGTAGGAACTTCTTTTCTTTGTTGAAAGAGACTTCGTCTTTTCAAGGGCGGCGATATGTTCCGTATTGCCCAAATATTTAATATTTGAATTTAAATTTTCGCTCCCGTGTTACTTTTGAAAACGCTATATTGATGGGAGAGAGGTGAAGGCTGTCAAATGTAATTTTTAAAAAAAGAGAAGTCAGAAAAGCAAGGGGCAGCAACAAGCAAGAAAAAATAATAAACCAGGCAAAAAATAAGCCAGTCTCTCATTTTGTCCACCTAACAAATAAGTGGAGGAAACAAATAGAACCACAACATTTACAATGTATTCTGATTTTGTAATGTACAATTCCTTCGTGCAATTAAATGTTCCATCCTGAAAAATCTCGCACTATTTCATATAATTCTAGCTACATAATTTTTTAAGTACAAGGCATGTAAACTACAGTTTTTTGTTAGCACTTTTTTGATGTTCCTAATATATATTTTAGACTTGATGAAGCCCTAAACTTTTTGGCAAAACTTTGGCAAAGACTTAACAGGCCTTTTATGTTTTTTTTTTGTCCTAACCGACGAATCACCCCCTTCATTGTATTTTATGTTATCTGAACTCATTGGGTTTGTTTCATTAGGGTGAAATAAATAACATTTGTTGATGTTTTTTTCAAATTAAAATAATAAATGGGTATTAAATAGGGTCAGTTTGAAATTCATTTTCAAAAATGTGAAATCAAATTTCGTTTGTGAGAAATTAGTTTTCGTTACTTTGCAATCAATTTTCATTTGAGCGAAATTAGATTTCACTGATGTGAATTTAGTTTTCATTAATTTGAAATCAAATTTCACTAGTGTGAAATAATTCTGGAAATGATATAGACATTAGAAAATTATACAAATACATTTCAAAACAAAAAAATTAACATTCAAGAATTTCAAGAGCCTGGAATTGAGAAAATAATATTCCCATTATTAATAATATTATGTCAGAAGCAAATAACAGTTTATCTTGGATTATTTTCTATTTGCTGACAACAAAATATTCCAAAGAATGGACCAAGGACAGACAACTTTTTCATTAAAAAATTTCAAAATGTTATCAATTTTCAATTCTAAATCTTTTATAGGAATCTGTACTTACGTATCGTTCTAATAAGCCTCCGGCCATTTTCCATGCACTCCGATCCCAATTCGATTCCTTGCTGGATGACGGCTTCCACAGGAACAACATCTAGAGAAAAAATTATTAATAAAATTAAATATTTTAATTTTAATATTTATGTAAACAATAAAAAAATATATACCTTGAAACAATAAGAAAAATGTTTGATTACTTTGCAGTTAATTGAATATAGTGTGGGTGCATAATTTTTTACTTTTTATTTTAAAAACTTTGGGTCAGAAATTATAATTCACAATCCGAATATCATCGTTGTTGACACTGGTAAGTAATGGGCTACATTTTTCAAAAACATATTGAAATTATTCTTTTAGTCATTCTAATACTATCTGTATACTTTTTTTCCGAAAAAAAACGCTTATTTTTGAAAAAAAAAATATTTAAAAATCAATTTTTAAACTAGCGCGAAAACGCGAACATGGTTTATGACGTCACAAACCAGAAAATCAACAAAAATGTGAGGATGCCAAATTTCTCATTAGTAAGTCATTACACATTCCACTAGCTAGAAACTATTTTCGTCCTTTACTACATTATAAAAAAATGAAGGATAGGTATAATCGTTATAATCTCATTTAAATTTCGCATTTCTAAATGTGGCAACAAGCACATCAAAATCGGCTTTAGCCAATCAGAGGGCATTTTCAATCACGTGATTTTTTGTTTAAATTTTTAATTTTTATTTAATAATCTAACTAAAATCTTACAAAATATTGTTCATTCTCGGTTGCATTGATGTATCTGCGTCAAAAAATATCATAATTTGCCATATTTCCGGCACGTGATAGTGGCCCAATGCCATCCACAAAAAAATGCAAATTTCTAGACTAGATAATCAGTGTGTCATGCATAAATTAAAACGTAACCATTTGACCCTTAACTAATGTAAACTTGACATGGAATAAATAATAAAAAAGCCATAATCAAAACACCGACAATATTTGCATTGAGGTTGTTTTTTTTGGATAATTTATAAATTCGACACGTTTTGTTTGGTTGTTTGACGTAACAATACAGTTGTTATTCCATTGTATAAATGACCGAAATATTATTATTACTTAAGCAAGTAAAGGTGTCATCAACATATAAAGAAATACTTACCATCATGTATCGATGACACACTATTCGATGTTCCAGGTCTTTGTTGATAAATTCCATTTATTGGATGTGCAGTATTCTGAATTAAGAAAAAAAATAAAAATCAAATGGAGGAAGATACAAACAAAAGTGTTTTGCGAAATAAAATCGTACCTTTGCAATTTGAAGTAAAACTATAGAGTGTTTGATGTTATCAAGCATCACCTGAAACACGGAAGAAATGTTTAAGGAAGCCTCAATCAACAAAAATACTTCAATTGAATCATGATTTCACTTACATTTGCGTGTTCTAATATCGTTTCACATTTAACTTTTTCATCTTCGTCTGTTAAAGTTTCTAATCTATCTTCTAAATTCTGAAATGGAAATTTATAACTTGAAATATTCATAATTGGATTAGGCTTACTTTAGTTTGCTCAATCATCAGTTGAAGGTACGCATCTGCTTCGGACACTTTGTCGTCAAAATCTTTAATTGTTGGAGATACGTGGTAGTTGTCCCATTTGGTCTAAAAATAAACATGTAATCTTTTCATCAATCAAGTTATTTGTAGATAGAAATCTAGAAGGCGAAACTATCATGTAGTGTTGTAGTTGAGTTATAAAGCACATGTACCCTAATTCACTGCAACACAAGAAATTATGGATTAATCTGGTCGTAAAAAGATAAAAGAGTACTTCTTTTTCTCAAATTGCTAAAATGATTTGTGCCTGAAAGTCTCTCCAAGATTCTTTCAGGCCTTTTTGAATCATTACTTTAAAAAAGTTCTTTTTTTTTAAAGAAAAGACCTCAGAAGAGACAGATCTCCAGATCCAAAACATTGAAAATGCCTTGTTGCTGTGTTGTGATGGAAAAAGTCTAGAAACTTTATTATAGGTTTCCTACATTCTGAGTCATTACTTTGTACAAGCTTCCTGATTCTTTAAAAAGAATCAAAATTCTGAATCCTAATTCATTATTTTGCAAACTTTTTGGTTTCTTTTATAACAGGATCTTAAATTCTCAAAACCTTCAGATCCCTAAAATGTTCTTTTGCAAATGTTCTGATTTTTTTTTTTGAGAAGACTCTACAGCGAGGGGGATTTCAGTAGTGTACACTAAATTACCACTTCTGACAGAAATTACCACAAATTACCAGTAATTACCTCTAAATTACCACTTTTTTCCTCTATTACCTTTCAATGCCTCAGGAATTACCACTCAATGCCACTCAAATTACCACTTATTACCTCTTATTTCCGCTAAATACCACTAATTACCACTGTCAATACCACTAATTACCACTGTCAGTACCATTAATTACCACTGAAATTACCACTAAATACCAGGAATTTATTTCAATTTTCAAGTATACCCAAAACTAGAACTCAATAACAAATCGAGATTTTAAAAGAAGAGCAAATCAAGATGTTGAAAGTTGAAAAAACGAGATACTCAGGAAGGCATGTCTTAAAGAAAAAAGGGGATTCCAAAATTCTGCAAAAACTCAAGTTTCATCTTCTAGAAACTGGATAAAAATCATTTTATTGATGATGAACGAACAAATCGAGATGTTAAAAGTTGAAAAAGAGGGACACTCATGGAGGCATTCCATCATGTTTCGAAAAAAATAGGATTCCAAAATCCTGCAAAGCAAAAACTAAAGTTCTAGCTTCTAGAAACTGGATAAAAATCATTTGATTGATGTTGAAGGAACAAATCGAGATGTTAAAAGAAAAGCAAATCAAAATGTTGGAAGTTGAAAAAGCGAAACACTCGAGGCATTTCAACATGTCTCGAAGAAAAAAGGATTCCAAAATCCTGGAAAACTCAAGTTCAATCTTCTATAGAAACTGGATAAAAGTCATTTGATTGATGTTGAAGGAACAAATCGAAATGTTAAAAAAAAAGCAAATCAATATATTGAAAGTTGAAAAAGGCAGACACTCAGGGAGATATTCCAACATGTCTCCAAAAAAAAGGAGGATAAAAATCATTTGATTGATGATGAACGAACAAATCGGGATGTTAAAGGAAGAGCAAATTAAGATGTTGAAAGTTGGAAAAGAGAAACACTCAAGGAGGCATTTCAACATGTCTCGAAGAAAAAAGGATTCCAAAATTCTGCAAAACTCAAGTTTCATCTTCTAGAAATTGGATAAAAATCATTTTATTAATGTAATAGGAACAAACCGAGTTCACCCTCAGCGACTTCAGAACATTCCGACTCTATTTCGGATTCCATCAAGAAGACGAAAATATGAAAAAATACGAAATTGCACACGCCTTTGCAGTTCCTCACAAATAAACTGCTGGACAAATGAAACGGAACAAGCGAATTTTTAATTCAACTTTGGATTCCAATAATACGCGAACTGAAGAAGTTATCAATGAATGATTTGCGTAATTTAGAAGTTAGTTTTCGCGAACCGCTCATTGATATTATTTTCAGTTCGCATAATATTGGAATTTGAAGTTAACCTAAAAATTCGCTTGTTCCGTTTCATTTGTCCAGCAGTTTATTTGCGTATTTGGCTCGGTATTTGGCATCCATCTAGGATAGGTGAAAATCTAGAGAATTGAAACTAGAGAAACAGGGAGACGGAAACACAAAAACACCTAATATTTGTAGCTACTTGCCGAATGTGTGATAGAGGCGTAAGGTATTATAATAATATAACAAGAACGCAATCTATCTATCACATTAACCTTTTCTTTTAGATTTAGAAACACTAAAACACAAAACTGGGCCTTAAATGTGACGAGGACTTGAAAGTTTTAAAATGAGCAGTAAAAACGACGTTCATAGATGATGTCAAACCAAGTGTTGAACAATTGCAATGTAATGAAACCTAAAATGGATTCTTACTCAAATGGAACATTCCTTAGAAAATGAAAGTTGATGTTTCTAACTGACTAATAGCCAATAGGGACTCAGAAGAATATTTTACTTAAATCTTAGTTGAAAAGTTTACAGTTGAAGCTCTGTTATTTCTAAATTAAAGCAAATTCGACGGCATATCATAATTTTATCACTACAGAACTTTGAGGTATTACCACAAAATGTCCTTCAATTACCCCCGAAATTGCCTTAAATTGCCTTAAATTGCCTCAAATTACCAAAAATTACCACTATATTTCCACTAGTTACCACTAAATTTCCACTAAATACTACTGTATTTCCGCTTATTTCCAGTCATTACCACTCATGTCCCCTAAAATTTCCACTAATTACCACGACTGTGTACCGGCACGTTGGTTCTTGATCAAGGACGTGAGAGACGGCCTACTCAAGCCAAGCAACGCGGTGTCGGGTTGGAGATTGGATGGGTGACCGCAATAGTACGGGACGGTGGGTCGACCGCGCTGCCGCCAATCATCAGATCTCCAAGTAAGAATGAGAAAGAGTAGAGCCCATACGAATGACATACAAAAAGCCTATAAAGGCTGCAGTGAAGAGTATGGGCTCGAAAGGGTGAAACCAAAAATCTAAAGCACGACTGTGTACACTAAATTACCACAATGAAATCCCCCTCGCTCTACAGATTCTGAATTCTTCAAAATTTGAAAATTTCTTCATACTTTTATTAAAAATTGATAAAACATCTGGATACTGAATTCTGACCAAAGGACCCCTCACTTTTCTTATGTAAAATGGCTTTCGGCCAATTTTTTAAAAAATTTGGTATGTTGTATTTCTTGATGTTCTAAACAAAAATGTCTCTATAGGCCCAATTCGATCCTATGTCCAGTTTCCGAGATATCGGTGCTCAAAGTTGGACAAAGGAGAATTTTATAATTTTCCTATAATTTTCACAGTAGCCTATTATAAATAAAACCCTTACTTTTTTGATAAAATTATTAGATGAGAATTTTGCTTATAGTATGGTCGTTTAAATATGAAATCCATTTTTCATACACGGTGAACCAAAAGATTTTAGAGGTTTATTTTATGCAATTCAAAAGTATGCAAAATTATCGTCCACCATTTTGTGCCGATGTTATGTATCTTAAAAACAAATGGCCTGATTTTCACAAAACTCTGACATTTTTTATATATCGATAGCCAAAGAAAAATGAGGCAATAAATTGTTCGGAGGGTGTAATATAACAATGGGTTTTATCGGGTTTTATAATTTCCAAACTGTGAGGTATGCGAGTTAGACCGTACCGATTTTCAATACGGGCTGTTTGAAATTACGGCGAAATTTCTGAAGTATATAGAAACTAAAGACCAAGATAGCCCTTTGAGCCATACATACCTTAGTCCAAAAGTTAACAAGTAAAAAGTTACAGGGTGTTAAATTATCAATTTAATTTTCAAAGTTGTTATTTAACATGCAACTTTCTAAACATTTTGGATGAATTTAATTTAGGTGAGCTGTTGTGTGCTTTGGTACTCAAATGTAATTCGCGGAAAGTCATCTGCTTAGTTTTCGAAATACAAGGTGTCAAGATTTGGAAAAAAAAATAGTTTTTCGGCTCAAAAATCCCTTTTCCTATGTTTTTTTTGTTGTTGGCAGTTTTGCATTTGCGGACCTATGTTTCTATTAACTTTTTTTTAATTTTAATGATTACTCTTTATCCTAGAAGTTTGATCTCCCGTTTCAGAAACACCCTGTATATTCTGAGACAAAAGTGTATAAGGTTTGGATATCCTATTTTTAGTAGTCTTGGATATATTGACAGCTGGAAATATACTACCTTATACATTTTTGTCTTGATTCTCCACGTAGCGCATTCTACATATTCAGTCAAATTAATTAAAAATTAGAAAGTTTTGAAGTTAAATAAAAAAATCGAAAATAAATCGATAACTTACCACCCTGTAACTTTTTACTTGTTAACTTTTGGATTAAGGTATGTATGGCTCGAAGCAGTGGCGGTCCATACATGATTTTCTGGGGGGTAATATGGATGGATGACGGATTTTTTTTTTGGGGTGCCACGCCCAAATTTGCACCCGAAAGTCGTTTAAAAAACACGCTTCGGACAAAAATGTATCCCGATGCCCTCAAAATAGTTATACAGGGTGTCCACTTAGTGCGATATCGGACGATATCTTCTTACAGGGTGATGCAAGAAAAAATAAATAAAAATTTAAAGTTGTTTGATTTTCTAAAGGTACGGTTTGTTAGGACAGTGCGCGACGCACAACGCACAACGTAAACGTCTGCAGAATCTATTTAGCACGACGTTGACATACAGAATTTTGTTATTTTTAAATGGAACACCCTATCAGGGGCGCCCGCAGAAAAATATGTAGGGGGGGTCAAAATCAATTGAATAAATTTTTTATGGGTAAAAAAAAGGCACTTCAGTCTATTTGAAAAATCATCCTAAATAAATATTTATATAAAAAAACTTGAAACATTCTTTCTAAGTACCTATCTAAAAAAATCACCAATTCGAAGATATAGTATTTTTAATACCTATTTAGAAGTACCAGTCGTTCTAGTGATAAAACGTATGTCGCTTCTTGACACACAAATAAAAATTAGGTTAGGAATTCTATTTGTACATGAAATTGACGTATTAGCAATCGACGTTCGTTTTTGTTGGTAATTTTTTGTTTCATCTGATTCGTGATTGATAAATAAGGATGGGGTTATTCTAAATGGGTATTACAAATACTATACATAGGTATACAGGATGACAATTTGAAAAGTAGCAATTGGCAATATCTGTTAGACAAAAAATACTATCAGGAAGATCTCAAATACGTATTGAGGGAGTGGAGGGGGAACAAAATTAGACACTTTTTGAGCCTCACCCCTTAGGGGGTAGCTACCCTAACTTATTTTTTTTTTTTAAATACAAACCTGCCTTGTGTTGCAAATTGTTCGATAGCTCGTTGCTTTCCCTTTACCGTCCTATAGCAAAATCTTAAAAAAAAATTTGAAAAATACACAATACACCATTTCCAACAGTATTCTAGAAAGCTTCAGTTGTATTTTAAAATAGTCATTTGGATTTAAGAAATTTATTCCATTATTCATATGGGGGATTTCCTGAATACAAATGACTATTCTAAAATACAATAATTAATTGAAGTTTTCTAAAATACTGTTGGACATGGTGAAGTAATTTTGACTATGGCGGGGCGCTCACCGAAATAACGGCGTGATCTAGCAAGTGGCATACCCCTTATTAGGTGCCACTAAATGCATGTTACTTGCCTTGTCACTTCAGTGGGCTCTTGCTTATTTGTTTATGTTCGTTTGATTTGATGTAGCATGCTAGATGTGTGCTACTTGCTAGATCATACGCCACATCATAAGCCACGCTATTTCGTTAGGCGCCCTGCCTATCTCTAAACAAAAAAATTCTGCCATAAAAGTCTCCAAAACACATCGACCAAATAATGTGTTTATTGTAATTGTATCTGCTTCTGCATGCCTTTCTTCAAGGAGGAATAAAAAACCTTTCAAAGGAGGTATCATATTGAGTAGTTTCCCATTCTAGAAAAATTATTACGGGCGGCTAGCCCCCCAGACAAAATGTGCGGGAGTTAGAGTTAGGCAATAAACACATTTGGTTTCCTCTGTGTATTTGAGACTTTTATGACAGAATTCTTTTTAGTAAGAGACAGTCAAAATTAATAGTTTTCAAAAGTGCTTACTTTTAAACAATAATATCTCAAAAACTAATCGAACGATTTAGATTTTGCTATAAGACTGTAAAGGAGAGCAACGAGCTATCCAACGATGTGTAGTCAAATTGTCACATAGTTCAACTAATATCAAAAATTTTAATATTTTTTATTAAAGGATAATAATTTAAATTTAAGAGATTTCCAGGGGGGGGTCGAGTGACACCCCCTGACCCTCCTTGTGGGCGCCCTTGCCTATATTTTAGTACATTCTAACGTTCTAAAAATCCCACATACTTTTTGTTAGGAATCATCTATACCAAAACTCAATCGTTTTTAAAATATTTAATATTTTTTCAAAAAATCGTAGCTTGCATGTGTCAACAAAAACCAACATATTTCATCCATTGGAGATCCTATAAGCTTAAGCTTTTGCAGGTTGTTAGTGCATAATGTCTGTCGATTTTAATCTGATACTCCAACGGAATTTGAGCTGGTGGCTCCCTACATTAGAGCGCCATTATTGGTTACCTGGACGTCACAGCTGTTTTGGCCATATGAAATACCCCCTCGGCTCCTCATACGGAAAGTGTTAGTTTAAAAACGACGGACTTTACTTACATTTACTTCATGGTCCTATGAAAATCTGTCAACATCCTACAGGGTGTTCGCAATACTGTACACAAAACCAGACATTTCAAACAACCATAGCACTGTATGCTCTAGGTACGCAAGGTTGTCTGAGAGAGGTAGGTTGCCTGATAACTTTATGACGTCATCTGGGGTGCCTCAAGATAATGCAAATCTGCATAAGGGATGAACTTTAGGAACCTTGGTAGGTACGTCGGTACTGGTGAGCCTATCATATTCATGTGATGTCTGTAATCCTTTATTTTGTAGAACTTATCTTTGGTTGAAATTTTGTTATAATTAATAAATGTATTTAAAAAATCTTTGTCTGGGAGGGGTCTCTACCCCCCCCCCCCCTTTAAACCGCCCTTGGCTCGAAGGGCTATTTTAGTCTTCAGTTTCTATAGTCCAGAGATTTCCCCGTAATTTCAACACCCCATACTTTCAGTTTGGAGACCATTAAACTCCATAATACCCATTGTTATGCTACACCGTCCAAACAATTTATTGCGTCATTTTTCTTTGGCTATCGATATATAAAAAATGTTAGAGCTTCGTGAAAAGCTGGCCGTTTATTTTTAAGATACATAACATCGGTACAGAATGGAGGGCGATAATTTTGTATAGGTACTTTTGAATTGTAATAAAATAAACCCTCGAATAAACCTCTATATACATAATGTCTGCCCAGAGAGTCTGTGTCTACGGTAAGGGGAATGCAGTTGTAAAAAAAAATGACTGATTTCATTCATAAAGTACCCAGCTGCGTGCGGAATTTTTTGAAAGTGTTATCGTATTGCAACTCGTACACGAAAATCAGCAATGACCAAATCTCCGCCACTGGATATTTCAATATAAATCGATATTCCAAGATGGGAGGATAAAATGACGTGAGCCCTGGCCAATAGCGAGACGTAAGGTGACGTTAGTTTATTGACAACCGTATGGTTCCTCCTGACAACGGCGATCCTGCCAAAAACTCCACCAATCAGGTTCATCCAGGACGGATGCTTGCCAAATTGTCAAGAGCTGATGGTATCTTTAGAAAATGTTTATTTTTTACAATAGACCAAACTGAAGAAATAAGGATAGATCTAACAACCACGTTAAAATATTTAGCGTTTTATTATTGTTATCAATATTTTGTTAATAAAAAATGGATTTTCAAATTAACTATACTTCATCCCTAGCATTTTCGCTTTTTTATAATTAAACGTAGCAACATAGCACATTTACGTCCGAATTCCTTCCATAGACTCAGATCCACTGGACAAACAATATTTTAGTTCACCGTATATAAAAAATGAATTTTACATTTTAAAAAACATACTATAAGCAAAATTCTCATACAATAATTTTATCAGAAAAGTATGGTTTTTATTTATAATAGGCTATTTCTAAGATTATAGGAAACTGTTTAAAATTCCCCTCTGTCCAACTTTTCAGCACCGATATCTCGGAAACTGAATATAGGATCGAATGGAGATATTTGTTCAGAACATCAAGGACTACAACATACTAAATATTTAAAAAAATTGGCCGAAAGCCATTTTGCATATGAAAAGTGAGGGGTCTTTTGCTGATTCTTCTAAGAACCTGAGATTTTTCATACTCCTAGATATAACCCGAAATCAGAAGGTATATTTCAAGGGCAATTCTTAAAAACTTTTCCACTTTCCCTAAGCTACGATTACCAAAACTAAGGAATTGAAAAATTCTTACTCGACTGGCATGCCTGATAATCGTATCCTCCAGAGCCTGCACCCATTTGTGTCTCTCTTCGGCATCTCTGGCTTGAAAATGAAACGTTTTGTGATCAACTGTGATGGTGAAAGTACTATCATCTTCATCGTCTATTCCTATAACGGCCCCTTTTAGTCGTACACACCCTCTGCGAACGCCCCGCATCATTTTTTCTTTTGACTGAAACAAAAAAAAAATAACGTTTCAAACCAACGAATATAAAAAAATTCTAAAAGAAAAACACAAGGTCTTCCTTCCTAAATACTGCAATAGGTTAAAGAGCCCTACATGTTTCGAGACCATTATAATCTCATCATCAGGAGCAAATTAGCTCAAATATTACCAAAGGGTTTTTCAGATATTAGACTGCCAGATCATGTTGCAAAGAAGAAATTAGTTTAATTTTGAGCTAAGATCTATATAAAATTGAAAATTATCAGGACATGATTCATGAATCCAGTACTAAATGTTTCAAAGTAAAAACACAAAAGCTCTAATTGTTGTGATGAAAAGTCAAATTGATAATAACTATTTGTCTGAATAAATTCAATTATTGTTTCAAACAAAGCAAATAGCAACCTGATAAATTCTTAGTAGAACAATCTGAATAAATTTTGCATGATTGACTTCTTGACACAATCATCATTATAAAACGACCCAGCCAGAGTCGTTGACGCTTCAGTTTTGTGACGCCTATTTCAACAGGCACACGGACAATTATTATTATCAAACAAAAATGCATATCAGAAAATAATAATTAGTATTTCCTATTGTTTTGGCTAGTGCGGTTCAGTGGTTGGTTAATTGTAAAAAAACGCAGAAAAAAAAAAAATGACGACTGTTGCTGAATATATTGGAGATTTCCTTAGGGAAAAAGCAGGTGAATTGCATATTAATATGTATATAATAGTTTAATGGTAATTTTATTAGGTTACATCAGTATCATCACGTCAAATCTGCAATTGAGTTTTTAGTTCTTCTTATTATCTGCATTGAATTGAAAAACAAAATAATATAATTTGTAACATTTTTCTACTTGGCCAGGAACTTCTTCATGTATGTAGATAATTTTTTATTTATAAGGCTTTAATAGATCTGAAAGCTAAATTGATAATCAAAATTAGCCACAACAAAAATCCTAATAATACCTGAGTACATTATTTCTCACATAATTCATGGATAGACTTTAAACGAAAGTAGCTAAAAATTAGATTTGTATTCGAACGAAATTTACATTTTCCTTATCACAATACATAATGAATGATATTACCTTGCATTTTTTGGGACTTTGAAATTAATACCAGAAGTTTCTTGATTTTGATACAAATTACTACAAGCTCTCTGATTAGAGCTTGTAGTAATAATAATAATCAAGAAACTTCTGGTATTAATTTCAATTGAGGTGTAAGTCCCAAAAAATGCAAGGTAATATGTATTATAAATCCACCTCAAACATACAGACATTTGTTACATAATGAATGAATTGCAATTTATTAAACTTCAATGTTTGCTTGAAAAATGACGAAACGTTGTCACAGAATCAGCAATAACAACTTTTTTGTACAAACGTCACTAAAAGTGTCACTTTTAACGGATGCTATCAGTGTCTAAAATGCCATTTTATGACACTGGTGCTAAAAGTGATTGCTTTTAGCACTGAGTGCTAAAAGTAATCACTTTTAGTGCATTTGTAGAAAAAATACTGTATGATATTCGTGCTAAAAGTGATTTTATTTTGTTCAAAGGGATGGAACATTCCGCCTTTGGCGTCGTGTCCCAAACTTCCCTTTTCACAAAATAAAATGTTACTTTTAGCACTTATATCATAAATAAAACTTTATATAATATTTATTCGCCTATTTAGACTCGCTCACATACTGCGCGCTTTATATACAAAAAAAATATTCAATCAAGAAGTCTCTCTCTAGAATCACTTAAATGTTTGTTTCTGTATTTACACGATGGGATTTGTAATCAAGGTGCAGAAGAACTATTTGATATTTTTTGACAAAAAATTTATGTGATATGAAGATACCAAAGAAGATAGTCTTCTTCTTCGTCAGCCCGTGTCCATCCATGGTCGGATATAACTATAAGCCCCTTCCAGACTTTTCCATGTCTCGCGATTTCTCGCCAATCTCATCCATTGTCCCCCTGCCAGCGTTCTGATATCGTCTATCCATATCTCAGTTGCTCAGTTGCTTTTCGGGTTATTGCCATAGTTTCTAACTCGTAGGTGAAAACCGGCAGAATACAGCTGTCGTAGGCTTTCCTCTTTAGTTTTATGGGTACCTTTTCATCTTCAAAAATAAAGTTTAGGTTTCCGAATGCCACCAATGCCAAATGAATCCTGCGTTTGATCTCCGCCGTCTGGTTTTCTTTGCCCAGCTTGATTTTATGCCCTAAGTATATGTAATGTTCTACATTTTTTATGGTAACGTTGTCTATGGTGATGTTACATTCATTTTTGCTCATTATTTTGGTCTTGTTTAGATTAATTTATAGGCCTATTTTCTTGGATTGTTCGTTTAGCTGATTTATCATGTTCAGTTCTTGAATCTTGGTGTTCATCAAGACTATATCTGCAAATCTGAGGTAATTGAGGTACACTCCATCGATGTTTAGGCCCTTGTTTTCCTAATCCAACTTCTTAAAAACATTCTCCAGTGCTAGGGTAAATAGCTTGGGAGAGATGGTATCCCCCTGTCATACTCCTTTGCCAAAGGATATTTTGATTGCTTAAAGATCATTGTCTATTTTTACGGGAAAGGTTGCCTTATTATTTTCTTAATAAGGGTAGAGTATCTCGAATCGATTTTTACGTCCTCCATTGCCGCTAGAAAAGACCAGGTTTTAACGCTGTCGAAGGCTTTCTGGTAGTCCACAAACGCTAGATATAGGGGTATGTTACATTCCGTTGTTTTCTCGATAAGTGCTTTAATTGTTTGCAAATGGTCTGTAGTGCTAAAGCCTCTTCGAAAGCCTGCTTGTTCTACCGGTTGGTAGGAGTCTAGCTTCGCGGTCAGTCGATTGTTGATAATTCTAGTGAAAAGTTTATATAGGTGTGATAGCAGGCTTTTTGGTCTATAGTTATCTATATTTGAACGATCCCCTTTTTTGTATATTATTACGACTTCGGCATTTTCCCATGGTTCTGGGATTTTCCCTTCTATCAGACATTTGTAAAATTAAATGTTGTAGATGTTTTTAATAAAATATGTGTCTTGAAGCAAAGCGTTGGGCCTGGGCCAGATGGCATTCCTGTAATTTTAGTAAAAAATTGTAAAATTGTTCTGTCCGAAATACTATGTAAAATTTACAATGTCTCTTTAAGCGGTGGAGTGTTTCTCGCTTGTTGGAAAAAGTCTTAAGTCACCTATTTTTAAAGATGGTGCTAGGGCCAATATAAAGAACTATCACCCAATTTCCAAAATAAGCTTGTTTTCAAAAATTTTTGAAGCTATAAGCTCTGATTATGTTAGCCCTCATGTTAAAAATATTTAATAAACGAGCAACATGGCTTTGTACAGAAAAGGTCAACAGTTTCAAACCTACTGAGCCATGAGTAATCCCTGTTGGGAGCTTTTGAGAATAGATATCAGGTGATGCAATTTATACTGATTTCTCAAAAGCTTTCGACAGGGTTGATCATGGTATTATGGTTAAGAAGCTTGGAGCTATTGGGATCTTTGGAGACCTTCTCAATTGGTTTGAAAGTAACTTAATAGGTCGAAAGCAAGCTGTGAAAGTTAAACATTATATTTCATCAGAATGATCTGAAGGACGTTTTTCGTTTTTGTCAGTTTCTCGCATTTGCAGATGATTTGAAACTTTTTAAAGTTATAAAATCACATCTAGATTGTCAATTGCTGCAGGAGGACCTTAACAGGTTTTCTTCATGGTGCAAAAATAATAATCTAACACCTAATCTTGATAAATATAATATTATAACCTTTAGTAAATTGAAAAATCTAGTTATTTTTAGCTGTTGCTTGATCTCTGAAAGGTTAGAGAGGCGGAATCTAGTAAAAAATCTTGTTATTTGAAAATATTTTTACCTTCAAAGAGTTGTACTGTGCGCTTGTCCGTTCAATTCTTGAGTACGCAAGTTGTGTATGGCATCCACATTACTTGATGCATAAAGGAATTAGAAAGATTAAGAGAAAGTTTCTTAGAGGAATAGGTTTCAGATTAGGTTTGTCATATGGGGAGATACCTAAATTGTGATGAGATTATTAAACTTTTAAATTTGTCATCTTTAGAACATAGACGAATATCCTGTAACATATCAATGTTATATAAAATTATTAAAAACTTTATAGACGCACCAGATCTTCTTGCAGCTGTTGGACTTCGTATTTCTCTTGTTAATGTGAGAACCAGCTATCTTGTTAGTGTTTTTCCACCCATCTTTAAAATTTCCGGTGTTAAACGATCTTCTCCCGGACTCTTGCCGTTTTTCATCTGTTGGAGTGCGTATTTAGTTTCTGATGGTAATATCTCCGGCATGTCTTCTGAGCCTACGTTTGTATTGTATTTAGGTGGTCTATTTGGGCTTGGTATAGTTGCTTGGTAGAGCTGTTCGTAGAATATTTTTATCTCCCTTCTAATTTTCTGTTTGTCTATGATTAGGATTCCTTGATTGTTTTTTATTTTCACAATTTCCTGTTTTCCCCTCTCTTGTGTCGATCTTAGAACTCTCATGTGAACTATCTATAGTTTCCAGGATTTTGTTTGTTTTGTTTTCTCTTAGATCTTTTCTTTTCTTATTTCTTTTTTCGTTGTCCTATTTAGGATATTATATTCTCTGTCAATTTTTCTCATTTTTCTTCTTAGTTCTGGTTGTTTCTGGTTTTAATTTGGTATCTGATCTCTGTCTTATCCTACTGAATGTTTCTTTTGTGGCTGTAGTTATGCCATGTGATATTTTATTAAGGAATCTATGTCCTTATCCTGGAGTGCAGGTGGCCTTAGCGTCTTTTCCAGTTCTTTTTGATAGGTTTCCTGATTGAGTTGCAGGGCATCTCTTGTAGAAAATGTATGTCTGATGACTAGTCTTCTCCTTTCTATGTTGGTGTTTATTTGTATCTTGTCTATGGTCGCTTCCTGTGTCAAACCTGTTTAGCACTGTGACATCTTCGCAGATAGTGTTCTTGTTACAAGGATGAAGTCTATTTCATTTTTCACCAGTCCGCCTGGGCTTCGCTACGTCCACTTCGAGTTTGTTTTTGGAAGAAGGTGTTCATACAGTAAAGTTTTTCGTTGTTTAAGGAGTTTGGGGGGTGAAAAAAAGTTGCCATGAACATATGCCCTAAGATACTTCCTGAAGAAGTTAAAGCCCTTCAAACGGTAGATAAAAACATGTAATAGAATTTATTTATTTTCAAGAACAGAGAAACTATTTTCCTTGAAATTTGGTATTCTCGCATACATTTTGATACTAAAGCCTCTGGGAATGGTAATAGTAGATAAAAGTTCTGAAAGAGTAGTTTCCGTAAGGGTAGAGGGTAGTTACTCACAGAACAAAAAAGCATGTGCAAAGGAACTTTTTTTTTAATGTTCATATGTAGTATCACCTCTCAAAGACGTCGAAGTCCGGTACCTACACTATTTTTTTTTACCCCATTCAAAAAGATATCATGAAATCTAACTAAAAAAATTACTTAAATATTCATCAGGAAGGATTTCTAATAACTTGCAGACAGTTTTTGAGAAATTACTCAATTATGAGAGGTTGTCATGTTTCACTTTTCAAACACTATTGTAGGTATATTTGAAATTACTCTTTTTATGGAGGTTGCTATATTTTACTTTTCAAAACCATATACATATTTGTTTAGATAACTTGTAACTTTTTTATTCTTTGTTGAATTGATTTGAATTCACCATACAATACCACAAAATTTCATAATCGTAGCCTTGCAAGGTTTTTGAGAAACTCAATTTATATTTCACTTTTCAGGAACTATACAGGGTGTTACAAATTCGCGAGTAAGTATGGGGATCTCGGTAATTAAAAGAGATACAGGGTGGGTTAAATTGGGGCAATTTTTTGCTCACCAAAATGCCGTTTCGAAATTTGGAAAATTCCGAATACTTCCGGAGATATTCGGAATAAACCGAACCGCGAGTGGAAAGTGAAAGTCAAAAAATACAATAAATTTTAACAATTTCATTTATCTTTTAACGATCTTGTTGTTTTTCATTGAGCTCTTCAGCTTCCTTCCAAGTATCAACCATTTTATCTAGGTAAGGAGTGATCTGAGCCACAACATTTTCTGCTTCAATTGTAGCTTTTATGTCGTTGCTTACGTCATCTAATCTTCGTAATTCTCTGCCTAAATTTAAATAAGCAGCGGATTGTCCTGTAGTTCACACCAAGTTGGATTTATTGAAAATCTTACAACAGGTAATTTTGCAGGCCAAGACCCATGATCATTTTCAACTAAAATAGCAAGTCTTGACTTAATGTCTCTGTTTTTCCGTTCAACTATATTACAAGAAGCACGGTTAAGCGGTGTGAATGCTTGTTTGATTCTTAGGATAAAACATACTTGATTGTTGCATAATGGCAGATATAAACTGTACTCCATACTCCATTATCGCTAATCAATTTCCTACATATTCCATATCTAAAGATTTCATTTATTAGAATAGTAGCACAACTTTCGACAGTAGCTTGTTATAAGGGAAACAACTCTACCCATTTTCTTTAAGTATCTTCTACTACAGTGTGTTCCGCTTAAGGACTGACCACCCTTCTAAAATTTTTATTTTTCAACCGATTCAATTCATTTTTTTTGTCTTATAGCTATTCGAATTTGGCACTTATTGAGCTCATAATTTTATTTCTTCGGGTGTACTGGTGTACAGGGTGTTCACATTTATAGGCTCAACTTTCAATAAGTACTATTAGGGATTTTTTTAGAAAAAATCAGGGAAAAAATCTAATAGCGGATTCTTGTTTAGAATGGTCTAAAATCTAAATGTACTAATTTTTGTTTCAATATGATACAGGGTGATCACAACAAATTTTCAGAATTTAATGGACCAAACCGGAAAAATGTAATTTTTTGAGGTCTTGAAACAACAAAACTGGATACAACATAGTTTTAGAACATTTTTGTGGTTTGATTTATTAAATTGTGAAAATTTGTTGTCATCACCTTGTATCGTATTGAAACAAAAATGAGTACATTTGGGTTTTAGACCATTCTGAACAAGAATTTGCTATCAGATTTTTTCTAAAAAAATCCCTAATAGTACTTATTGAAATTTGAGCCTATAAATGTCGACACCCTGTACACCAGTACAGCCGCAGAAATAAAATTATGAGCCTAATAAGTGGCAAATTCGAGTAGCTATAAGACAAAAAAAATGAAGTGGCGGTTGAAAAATAAAAATTTTAGAAGGGTGGTCAGTCCTTAAGCGGGACACACTGTAAAAATATCCATGTTTCTTCCCCAGGTCCAAATAAGTAAATGTCGCAATTCTTTGAGCATAAACGGGTGTTTGCAACAATCCTGCAGGTTTTTGATTTGTTGGCTTGAATCTTTGACAATCTGTGTGATTTCAAATAATATTAATAATAAGTAATGTCTTTATTTGTAAATTACGAGTCTTTACAAAAAGGCGAAGTTGAAGCTAAGCTTCCTTACTTAACCTACATTAAATTTAGCTTACATAACGTGTTTTACAATATAGGTAATTCAAATATAAATTTTTACATAAAGATAGACATTATTTATTTAAAGAAGAACCTTAATTCAAAATGAACAATAATGAAAAAAAAAATTCTTTATTCTCTCAATCATAATACAATTGAAAGAAGAAAAATCTCTTAAATTTAACCCAAATTTCAGTATACAATGATAATTGTTAACAAACAAAAAAAATTAAAAAATAAAAAACAGAAATACAATAGAAAAACAAAAACAAAGGTTAACGCAGGGAATCTGTTATGTATCTTCATATCCCAGGAAAATAAAAAAAATAGTATCTCTTCGATATTCGATGAAACATTCGTTCAACACCATAATGTCCGGTGCATGGATCATCATGATGTTCTTGAAGAACCTTTTCTCTCTCCTTTATAGGTATTACAAGTTGAACATCTTCGTCGTCGCTTTCAGGAGAATATCTGGTATAAAACTCATTTTGTCATAATATAACCTCTTTCTGTCCATTTTTTAAACTCTTGATCCACATTACTCGAATCTTCGAAGCATTTGATTGTTTTGACTATATCGGGATCTTTTAATTACTCTTCTCGCAATTCCGTAGCGCTTCTACGAGGCATTTCTATAGAAAATGTACAAATCTCAATTGTCAACAGTATCATGTTCACAGGGTGGTCTTGAAAGCATATCAGCTATGACGTTTCTCTTCCTGGTAAATATTCAATTTTAATATCATAACTTTGAATCTGTAATGCCCATCTGGCTAGTTTACCTGTTGGAGACTTTATATTCAACAATCTGTATGGTTATAAGTAAACACTCTATGTACCCACGACATTTGTTTAAAGCCTACACTACAGTCAAGGCTTCTCTCTCAGAAGTAGAATAGTTTCTTTCTGTAGCCGTCAATAATCTACTTGCATATTTGATAGGGTGTTCATTTTTTTCACTATCACCTTTGAAGTAAACAAGCTCCAAGAGCATAACCACTTGAATCGGTTCTTATTATGTAAGGCTTGGTATAATCACACTGTTGTAAGGACGGATGCCGTGGTGAGCAATTTCTTTAAATTATTGTCAAAGGACTTTTGTTCCACGGATGTCCATCTCCAAAAAACATTTTTTATGGGGTTACTTAATGGGCGTGACATTTCAGCAAATGTTTCAATGAATCGTCGAAACCAACTTGCAGTTTGTAAGAATGATTGCGGCACTTCATGTACATTTCTTGGTGGAGGTCTTTTTACTATGGCTGATATTTTTTCTGGATCCATGAAAGACCTTGGGATGTCCCAAATATTTAACCTGAGCAAACGCGAATACGCCCTTCTCGCGGTTTGCATGTAGTTTAAATTGGTCAAGTCTATCAAACACTGTGTTAAGATCTATCATATTATGATCTTCAAACGAACACGATTAAATCATCGAGGTACGCAAACACTATGATTTCACTATCATCGGTGTTCCGTTTAAGTCCGTTCTTAAACCGATCTATGAGCCGTTGAAACGTTGCCGGCGTATTTTTGAATCCGAATGGCATTCTCGTATAACGAGAATTACCAAACGATGTTGTAAAAGCTGTTCTATCGCGATCTGGCTCATAAACACCAACTTGATGGTAACCGGATCTGAGATCAATGTTTGTCATATGGAGTTTGTTTCGCAGGTTGTAATAGCTCATCCAATCGCGGCAGTGGATAGCTATCAGTTACTGTAATAGCGTTAAGTTTCTGGTAGTCGACACACAGTCTTACACCACCTGTTTTCTTAGGGACTAGTTCAACTGGTGCAGCCCAGGAACTTTCGCAATCTTCTATAATGTTATCTTCTAACAGCTTATCCAATTCTCCTTTCAAAAGTTGCTTTTTCTGTGGTGCCAATCTGTATAGAGGTAAAGAAATCCGGACGTGTTCTTTGGTGTTAATGCAATGAACTGCAAACGGCGTTGCGTCTCCCCCAGTGAAAATCTATAGAATTTATTTTGTTCAGAGTGAAATAGGAAATCAAGAAGATGGTGATATCCGAAAGGCAGATCTTGAAAACAAATCTTGAAAACAAGCTTGATAAATTTGATACTTTATATGTATTTCGATGTTTGCTCAGAACACAAGGAATCCTCAACAAAATACTTAAATTTAATCAGCTCAAAAAAGTTTGACCATCAAATTACGTTGACTCAATTCAAGTACTCAAGTTTTCAGAGTCATAATCATGATTACTTACATAAAATTTCAAATTTTTGAACCAATTAGTTTTCAAATAAAGTCTTGATGCCTAGTTCAAAACATATCTTGAAAATTTGTAATGATATAGTGTTTCTTTTATCAAAAAATTACTTATTTTCAGACAAAAGAGTATCAAATTGGTTCCTCATGTCTAGCCTAATGCCCACCCTAGGCATAATCTCCATCTATTTGACGCTCGTCTACGTAATTTTGCCCGCCTACATGAAAAATCGTAAGCCTTTCCAATTAACCAAAATCATCAAAGCCTACAACCTGTTCCAAATCACATCTTGCTCGATTATAATTTACTGGGTAAGTTACTCAAATCTAAATCAACAAAAATAAATTAAATTGATTCCAGATGGCAACCTCCGGATGGGTGCAAGGTGATTATAGCCTCGGTTGCCAACCAATCGATTATTCCAACAACCCGAAAGCCTTATATTTGCTGCAAGGATTCCACTGGACATACTTTTTAAAAATGACAGAACTCATCGAAACCATATTTTTCATACTCAGAAAGAAAAACAACCAAGTGACTAAGTTGCACGTTTACCATCACGCTTCTTCGATGACATTGGCCTGGATTGGTTGCAAATTCATTGGAGGTAAAACTCAATACTTAACAATTCAAATTTTGATGATTAATTAATGATTATTTTAGGTGGTATGTCTTGTGTTCCAGTCCTGTTAAACTCATTTATTCACATACTGATGTACACATATTACTATTTAGCAGCGCTGGGACCTTCTTGGCAAAAACGCCTGGCTCCTTGGAAACCCAGATTGACCATTGCACAAATGGTAAGCAAAATATTTAAGCCTATATAATATTTAAAAAATAAAACTGTTCCAGGTCCAGTTCACTCTACTCATCATCCACTCCATGGCAGTTTTCAGTCCCAATTGTGCAGGTCCGCGACCGTTTATACTCTTGTATCTGCCCAATGTTGTCATTATATATAAAATGTTCTACGACTTTTACAAAGCAAGTTATCACGCGAAAAAAACAGCCCAGAAAGTAAAATAGTACAAATTAGAGATTGAAGTTTACCGGTAATTTTCATTTGTTCTTTCTTAGTGGTAATTTACCGGTAATTTTGCGGTTATTTTGGTAATTTTGGAAATATTTCATGATTCATGAAAGAAACAATTATGATTATATACTATACCTACCTATACATTCAAGGATTATAGATTTTGAGGATGTTTTACCTAAACACCCATTTATTATAAATTATAATATTGTTTGTTGTAAAACATAACCTCATAGAAATATTACAATATTTAAACAAATAAACGAAAAACAAGCAAAGAAAATCAGACAAAAATAAAATAGAAATAAATTCTCCTTAATCTGGTGCTAAACTAAATACCTATCGCTGTATGCAACATCCTCTTTTAACTTAAAAGCACTTTTTAAAACTGGTACCTTTAAAAATTTGTATGGCTTAGTACAGAATCTTAAAAGTGACCAGTTTTAAAAAGTGCTTTTAAGTTAAAAGAGGATGTCGCATACAGCTGCTAGTAAAGTAAATACCTACTTTTAAAGGGCAAAAAGAAAACAAATAAATAAAATGAGTTGAATAAGGATAGCATAAGAGATTTTTTTGGGGGTTTTTGCTACCTGTGCTTCTGTAGGGTTTTTGTGTTTTAAGGTCTTTGACATTCCAAATGATAATCTCTAACTCAGAACTCAACAAAAACCAACCAGGTTTTTGAAATAGGTTTTTCCTACAAGCACAATGTTTTAATTCAAAATATAGGTACTATGTACTTATTTTTCACTTCAAATCAAATTACTATACATATATCTATAGGTACTATTTTCCATTGAGAAAACCTAGATCTTACACAGATTTTTTGATCAATTTTTGATAAATTAGATGTACAAAAATACTTGTGGAAAAACATTACACCTAACCTGCGGAAAATGTCTTTTTCACCCTTGACAGCTTGCCAACTGCCGTCGCGTGGGGAAAAGCACCACTTTCCGCACTTGTTTGGTAAATAACTATTCATTTATGCCAACCCTGAAAGCGCGTTACAGATTCACAATTTCACAACAAGATGGCGAATAATGCATGAGTAGGATTGTCGCCTGAACGTGATTTCATTCAGGAAGCATTTCTGAAAATTACCGGTAAAGAAATTTGTCGGGTTAAATTACCAAAATTACCTTACCAAAATTATCGTTACCGCAGTAACGTTACCACACTTTAATCTCTAGTACAAATATACCTATTATGATTATAATGTAATTAGAACATTTGCAAATCAAGTCAGCATGATTTGGCACAAATTTTGATGCACTGATTCAATTTTCAAATTAAAAATTGTAATCTTTGATTATGTAAATAATAAATAGGTTTGAACTTCAATACCGCAATAGTTTCATTCACCTCTTATGCTTTTCTGCTACATATGTATTGCATAGTTACAATGTAAAAGAAAAATTACTTTGTTTTTAAATGGCAACAGATTTGAATTGTGTAGGCATGTGTGTATTTTGCATATTATTATGTCTATAGTAAAAAATTGAATTTTGAACTATTTTTTACTATGGTTCAGGTTAATCATCAACTCATTGTTTTATTGTAAAACATATTTAATTGACCCTAATCACTAAGCAAGCACTACATTTAATGAGTCGTTCCTTATTACGGACTGATACACATATAATTTACAGAAAAAATGGTTTCACATTAACTTTATCAAATAAATGTAAAAATGCATTACGTAGGTACATGTCAATTTATCAAGAGAACATTAAATTTTTAATTATTCTATCATTTTTCATATGGAGTGCCATGGATGAAAAATAATTGGGCATATTGAGGTACGCAGTCATAATTTGTCCACTTTTAATAATATTTTGAACACTACTTTCTGGGATTGTTGTTACCTAATGTTTGACTTTATCCACTGAAAGCAGAGGTAAAATTTAATGTAAATTCCTTTTCAGGACTTTTTTTTTGAGGCTTTAATGCATATAAAAAATTTAGGATTTCTACAATTTTTGGTCTATTGGAAAGTTAGTTAGTCGACAGCCATACACAATCATTTATAACTTGGTTGACAAGTTAATGTATAACTTAATGAGATTTCAAATCATGGAAAATGTCGTTGACCTGCGACTTCACACATATTTAGTTTAGTCTAGTTTAGTTTGAAAAGCAAACTTTAAGTAATATATTTGAGACTAGTTAGATATAGCAGGTTGTCTTATGATTTACCGGATGTTGACTTTTTTAGTTTGACATTTTCTTTAACAGGTCGATTAAAAGGATGCAAATACACTCAGTGCGCACTGAATCTACCAATGGGAAACGCCATAAGACACTGATTCAGCGGAATGATTGATTCTGTTATGTTTGGTTATTGTGTTAAAGGTGTAAAACGGCTTAACTGTCAATAAGGGTTCATTGTCAATTGTTACTATTTGTATGTTATTGCAGCATCTATCCAATGTTAATCTTATTTTAAAAAACATATAAGTATTAATATAGTTTTTATTTTATTTTATTGTTTTATTTTTTTTTTAACTTACATATATTTATAAGCGAGGGGTGTCTCACGGTCGGAAACAATAGGTGTACAAATCTCAAAATAATTTCCGGAAATGTTGAGAAATTACAGAAATTTCCTGTAAATTATCGCAAATTATGTTACCTAATTCTCAGAAATTATAGGAAATGTTTGAAAATTTTGGGAAATGTCAGGAACTGTTAGGAAATTATTCGAAATATTGGGAAATCATTCAAAATTATAGAAAATTTACTGAAATTATTATAGGAAATTAGGAAATTTTCACTAGAAATCTTGAGAATTTTCGTGTTTCGAATATTGTTTAGTTCCTATTTGGTGTTATGTGAATAAAAATACCTAACTGCTAACAGTGCTAACAAAATAAAGGTACAGATCATTTCACGAAAGTTGCAAGAACCGATGAACTTTTTTGACGTCATTGATTTGTTTCAGTCAATTTCTATTTATTAAAAAAGGAAGGCAAAAGTATGAACCCTAGTGAAATAAATGTTTATGTATAAACACATCTCATAAACTATAGAAGTCAAGCTTCATGTTGTTATTTTCTAATGGAAAAAATATAAAATTATGGTAAAATGAACTTCTAACCTTCCTCTTTAAATGCAGAAAGTTTTAAATTTTTCCCTTTACTAGTTTTCCAGAAAAACTGTGAAATATGTGAGACTGTATTCTCAATTATTTCAGTTATTGTTAGTTGATTTTCAATATTTTGCATGTTGTTATTTTCCACTGGAAAAATTTGAAAATATGGGAAAATGAGCTCCAAACTTTCCTTTTCACAATTTTGCCTCTATTGGTTTTCCAGGAAAACTTTGAAATATGTAAGACTGTATTTTCAAATAATTCAGTTATTTTAAGTTAATTTTCTAGATTTCTCATGTTGTTATTTTCCACTGGAAAAATTTATATATTTTGGAAAAATGAGCTCCTAACCTTCCTCTTTACATGTAAAAAGTTTCAAATTTTTCCCTTTATGAGTCTTCCGGGAAAACTTTGTGAGACTGTATTTTCAATTAATTTAGTTTTTGCAAGCTGATTTCCAAGATTCTTCATGTTGTTATTTCTCACTGGAAAATATTTGAAATTTTGGGAAAATGAACCTCTTACTTTCCCTTTCACATGCAAAGAGTTTCAAATTTTTCCCCTTCACTAGTTTTCCAGAAAAACTTTGAATTGTGTGAGACTGTCTTTCAAATAATTCAGTTTTTGTAGGCTGTTTTCCAAGATTCGCCATGTTGTTATTTTCCAATGGAAAAATTTGAAATTTTGAGAAAATGATCTCCTAGTTTTCTTCTTCACATGCAAAAAGTTTCAAATTTTTCCCTTCACTAGCTTTCCAGGAAAACTTTGAAATGTGTGAGACTGTATTTTCAAATAATACAGTTTTTGTAGGCTGATTTCCAAAATTGTTATTTTCCCCTGGAAAAATTTGACATTTTGGGAAAATGACCTCCTAACCTTTCCTTCACATGCAAAAAGTTTTAATTTTTCCCTCAATTAATTTCTCAGGAAAACTTTGAAGTGTATGAAACTGTATTTTTCAATGGGCCACCTAGAAATTCTTTGCCAAATATGCGGGGAATTGAGGTATCAGGAATTCGAAGAAATTTATATGAAATTTGGAGAAATTTTCACTACATTTGGAAGAATTTGGGACGTTGGACATTCATTTTTATCAAAGAAATTCTCCTAAAATTTCACTGCATGATTTACAGGTCCAAATTTAAAAGAATCAGTTTAATATTTATGTAAATGTTTGAAAATTTTAACAACTGTCAAGGAAAAATCTTCTGGAATTGGATCCACTTAGACTTGAATGGATTTGAATGCTACATTCAAGATACTTTTCATATTGGGGCCAAATTAGAAAATCGCCTACTGAAAAAAAAAAATATTTTTCATTAGAGAATGGAGATTACATAATTTCTGTAGATCATTTTAATATGGTAATTGGAAAACAATGAGGAAAACACAAGGGAAAACATAATAAAAGTGAACATTTAATAGTTAGTTCTGACATTGTTCCAGAAGATAGGATGAACCGAGGGGTTTTTCACCTTGTTAATCGGTGTACAAATCACTGGTTAATATATGTCAATACCAGGTGAATACTATGTCAATGATGTCAATACTACGCAATACCTACTTGTTAATTATGTAGGTAATATATGTCAATACTTGTGGATATCTACGCAATATATGTTAATGCCATTGGTTGATACCCATTAAAAACATGTAAATACCTGTGGATATGTCAATACCTAGAATTCTGACGTAACAAATATTTGATTTTAGTCTGTCAATAGCATGGCAATACCTGGTAATATGTGATAATACTAGGGAAATACCTGGCAATATGTGGAAATAGTTGGCAATAACTTGTTATTAGGTACATAAAAATATCTGTCAATACATGGAAATATCTCAGTTAGTACTGGTCGGTGTACAAATTTTGTTAGGTGAAAAACCCCTCGGGATGAGCTTTTCCAAAAGAGGTACAAAATCTCCTTAAAAGTTACCCTGAGTGCAAAGGAACTTCAAGCTACGATACGACTTTAAATGTATTTGAATCCGAATATGTATCCTAGCATCATATATGGAAAAAATGCTGAACACTGAAAAAATGGTTTACTTACTTATTTTCAAATTATTGAAAAGGGAATTCATAGAGACATTCGTATGGCCTACTTAGCCTATGCTGAGGTTCAGATTCAATTTATTGTTAATGGTCCTGTAAACCTGTTCAGCTATTAGGAATATAGGTCCATTTATAATAAAAAGAAATAATATACCCTCAATATTGTGAAACAATACATACCTAAGTTGTTTGAAAAGTAACTATATGTATACAGGGTGTCCCACGGTGGATGGCGTATTAGACGTTTATGGAGAACTAAAAAGCGGATCATTTTGAAAATTTGGCAACCGGGATAAACGACCATGATCTACACTTTAAAAATATTTTTGACCATGCGATGTTGCCGCTTCTACTTTAAACTAGTGGCAACATCACTATTTTAAATGGAACATCCCGTATTAAATTGCATATTTGGATTCTACGTAAAATTCTGAGCAGATTTCATGTGATATACCCTATACCTAAGTTCAACTGTTTTGGAAATATTGACAGTTGAAAATTGACTTTTTGCAACTTTGACAGGCTGTAAAACCTAATTGGTTAATTTTAGAGGAAAACCGATTTCACATTCCTATCTTAGATTTTGATAAACTATCATTTGACACCAACTTTGAACTTAACCGGAGATTAAATTTAACTGAAATTTTTAATCATGGATTTAATTCAAAGATGGTGTCAAATGATAGTTTATAAAAATCTAAGATAGGAATGTAAAATCGGTTTTCCTCTAAAATTAACCGTTCAGGTTCTACAGCCTGTCAAAGTTGCAAAAAATCAATTTTCAACTGTTAATATTTCCAAAACAGTTGAACTTAGGTATAGGGTATATCACATGAAATCTGCTCAGAATTTTACGTAGAATCCAAATATGCAATTTAATACGGCGTGTTCCATTTAAAATAGTGATGTTGCCACTAGTTTAGAGAAGAAGCGACAACGCCGCATGGTCAAAAATATTTTTAAAGTGTAGATCATGGTCGTTTATCTCGGTTGCCAAATTTTCAAAATGATCCGCTTTTTAGTTCTCCATAAACATCTAATACGCCATCCACCGTGGGGCACCACTGGATATTTCAATATAAATCGATATTCTAAGATGGGAGGATAAAATGACGTGAGCCCTGGCCAATAGCGAGACGTAAGGTGACGTTAGCTCATTGACAACCGTATGGTTCCCTATGGCAATGGCGATCCTGCCAAAAACTCCACCAATCAGATTCATCCAGGACGGATGCTTGCCAAATTGTCAAAAGCTGATGGTATCTTAGAAAAATGTTTATTTTTTAAAATAGTCCAAATTGAAGAAATCAGGATTAAAATAAGGATAGATCTAACAAACACGTTAAAATATTTAGCGTTTTATTATTGTTATCAATATTTTGTTATTTAAAAATAGATTTTCAAATTAAGTATACTTCATGCCTAGTATTTTCGCCTTTTATAATTAAACGTGGCAACATGGCACATTTACGTCCGAATTCCTTCCGTAGACTCAGATCCGCTGGGCAAACAATATACAGTATTATATTTGTTTTAATTAGGGAATCCAAACCACGTGACTTTTGCCAACCAGCCGGCATTTTGAAATTTTTATGAGGTTAGAATACGGGTTGTTACATGTCAACGATGTCAGAAAAGTGTCAGATTGATAAAGCCTAGTACTCATAACCGCGAAATTCGTTCTTTTTTGACATTGCTTCGACAATTTGACATTGGATTCACGGATGAAACGTCAAATTGTCGAAGCAATGTCAAAAAAGAGTGAATTTCGCTGTTATGAGTACTAGGCTCAATCCTGCCAGAAGAAAAATATATGTTTTTTGTTTATTGTTTGCCAACCAGACGCCATTTGGACAGGTCGTTAGATTGCCTAATTTCCTCAAAAGGTTTTTTCCTCGGTTTTTTCTATCAATTGGATAATAATATCAAATGCAGGTTAAGGTTAGTTTAAACCCCTGTATTCTAGATTACCGGAAACCAATCATTAGTTTTAGCTCTAAAGTCAACTAACCTCATTTGATCCTATTCGATAAACTGCTCTTGTGTTTTAACACTAAGGGCCGGTTTATTCACCTTCTAATAAACCGTCAGGTAATCCAATCTGACGGATAAAATGCAATTTGTAATCCCATTAGTTAAAAACTACAAATACAAATAAAAACACTGCTTAGCGATGCTGCACATACAGATGTTTTACATCTAGGTGCTTATAAAAAAAAATATAGAGTAATTTAAAAACTAGCTAGATAACTTATGTACAATTGTTGAATGTTAGATATAAGAGAAATAAACTAATTTTCTGGAAGAAGTTTCTCCTGGAAAATAAACTATAA